TTACTTAGCTATATATCCAACAGATGAAACAATGTATTCTAATCTGTTTAAGTAAAACATATATTTACTTATATTTCCATTAGCCAGTCAAGGTAATCTCGGTGATGGCAACCAATCAAAAAACTGTTCTCATAACAAGTTAGTCTAACAGAAAATTCAAAAAATTTAAACTTTTCTTTCTATTGGTTATAAATAATCCAAAACCGAATGTCAAAGAGAAAACTGTTAATATTTTTAGAAAAACAGGATGTGGTAGGAGGGTTTGGTTTACAGAGTTTGACTTTCTAGTTTACATCTCAGTAAAGCAAGAAGATTAAAGACTACCAATTTACATTATTTCTTAGCAATATATATATATATATATATGCAGTAAGTGTAGTTTGTGCCAAACTCAGAAGACAATACAGTGGTAGAGAAAACCTAACGAACAATTCAGAGTGAAAAAAGTCACACGATACAGAAAAGTGAAGACTGAAAAATAATTAAATAAATTTCCTTTTGATATTAAGAAACTTATATAATACTAAAACTTAAGGTACAAACTAAGTTTTATGCTAAGTTTATTGTCATACATTGATGACAAAGTCTGATGACGAGCAATCCACTTTTTTAAAAAATGAAATGTTTGAATGGGTAATGAAGAAAACTTTATTATAAATGTACAACGTTTGGAGAAGATTATGTCATCATCAGGTACAAAAATAATTACCGGAAGTACTCTACACTTATTTATTGTAATATCTAAAGTTACAACGTTTCACTAGGAGTTCACTCCTCGTAGTTGTCGTACCTGACGATGCCAGGTTAACCTGGTGAAACGTTGTAACGATAAATATCACACTATGTATATCGACAAAACAAGTTTGACAGACGAAGATATCCTGTTCTAACACATCTGCCAACAGAGACTGTGAGAAGAACAAAATCAAGGAATACGTACGACACCCCACTGGTACAGAAAGGATTAATTTCTTTTGTTTTTATATTTGAATATTCACTTTCTATATTTGAGTGTTAATTTTAATATCACATGTGAAATGATTACACATTCAGAGGGAACAAAAATAAAATAGATCCTTGCACAACTGCATATAGAAAAAATAATTCTACAGAAGGAAAAACAAATCCTAGAACACAATCATCTAAGAAACCTAAGACCTGCAGTTCGAAATCATGTCAGCTACAGTTAGCTGTAAATCTAGGTAGCCTAAAAGCTTTTTTTTTATATTAAACAGTAGAGAAGTGTAAAACTAAACAAAGTCTATATGAACAGCTGAAACCTACTTCAAGCTGTCTCACAACCTCCATGTTAGCATCATACATTACAATGTATTTTGGAGAGTGTTCTGTTAATAATCTCTGGAGACCCATTGTATCATTTCCTTCATGAACAGCATGAATTAATGTGGCTTGGATTAATGAAGTCTCATCTGATGTATTTTTGGAACACTCGGTGGAATCAGCTTTCTCATTTTTATCACCAACCTGTTCAAAATATCAAGTTAAAACTCAAGAAACTATACATCTATTAAATGTTTCTATTAGCATATGAAACAAGTACAAATTACATTTATGAAACACCTCATTTATGTTACACTGTATGTTCAAATCTCCCCAACTTTGATTGACCCATGACCTTCAAAAGTTAATCGGGTCTAGAATATTTCAAGTAGTACCTACTATATAAAGTTGGTGAAAATCTATTCATTCTGTGTTAAAATTTGATGTCAACAATGCTGGGGAAGAATTTCTACATACCAGTGATTTTAATCTTTAACCTATGAACTTTGAAAATTAATCAGGACTTGAACTTCATGTTTTGTAGCTTTTATATAAGTATGGTCAAAATTCATCCATCCAATCTTGAGATATCCTGTCCACAAGATTGGGATGGACAGGGGAAAGTCAAAATGCCCTGCTCTGTTTTTCAGTGGGGTCATAATTATAAAACAGCAATACGTATTAATTAACCAAAAATTAAACACTCTCAACTTTTTTAAATCTTCAAAGAACTACTACATTCTACTTAATTGTTTATAATTTTTATATTTTTACTTCTAAATTATTATCCAACTTTAATTACAAAAATGTTTTTGCAAAGTAGTTATTTAATTTAAGTTATGAAAGCAACTATTTATGTAATTATGTCTTATAATTAATATCAATTTATGTATAACATTAACTCTTTCAGCATGAGCTCGGTCCCTGGGACCGACCTCATAACCATCTTGTGCTTGTTATAGTTTTCATGCTATAACTTTTAAATTGGTGGATGTTCACGAAATTTGACATATTATCAGTAAACATTACAATGCTTTCATACTCAAAATATCAGATTTTTTTTATTAAGTCTTAATGTTTGTTAAACAATGTTCTACTCATACCTTTTTTCTTTTCACATGTTGCCTGTCTATCATGCTAAGTAATTTTCATTTTAAGATTAAAAATTCTTTTATGCATCAGAAAATTTTCAAATTTCACATGTGAAATCTTTATAATGTCCAGATAATTATCAAATGTTTCTTAAGAAAAAACTTTATATTCTATCTGTTATTTTTCATAATGATTCTTTGTATGGATTTGGTTGATTTCACCAATCTCGTAACCACCATAAAAAATTAGGAAATAAATATAAATTATGCCTCTTTAATTCTAGAATGAACACAAATTATAACACGAAAACATAAATGTCTAGACTAAATAGTGTAAATCTCATAACATTATACATTTATATATATATATAT